AAATGAACAGCTCATGATCCTGGTGGCAGGCAGCTGTGTCATGGAATCGCCGCGCTCAGGAGGCGCCGGCGCCGCCAGCGGTGGGTCATCCCCACAAACATGCAGCCAGCCGCCATGCATGCGGCCGACGTCATGCGCCAAAGGCCGCCTGCACAAGGTTGAAATTTCGTTCCTGCAGCAACCGCCGCATCGCTGCAGCTGTTTAATTCGTCCATGGTCTAGCCCCCTTGCGCCGCCTGCCAACGAGCCACAATACACAACCACCACCTTGCAGCCGAGCACGTGGTCGTGAATCTGGACGGCGCGTCAGTCCACGGCGGCTCCGCGCGCGTCCTCGCCCCCGGCGACCCGCTGGCAGAGATGGCCTTCTTCACAGAGACGGCAAACCTGCAGGTGCGGACGACCAGGGCCGGGTCGCACGGCCCTCGGCCTGTGACTCCTGCCTTGCTGCACTCAGGGGTGGCCACACAGGACGGTCCAGCGACTGCTGTACCTGCTGGTTCTCTCAGAGGTCGCGTTTGGTGGCAAGCGCTTCGTTTTCTGATGTCGGCCGATCTGCATCACGGCCGAACTGAATCTCAAGCAACAAAAACCGGATGCGACGTGCTCGCACATGCGCGCGTGCACCACCAGGCCGTCCGCACTGCGTGCGTGTGCCGCGTGCTGAGCCTCAGCCGGACAGCCTACCTGGCGCTGGCGGCCGCCTTCCCGATTTCGGCGGAGCGCGTGCTGGGGAACTTGCTGGAGGCGGCGGAGGAGGTGCGGCGCCGGTTGGTGCATGCAAGCATGCGCATGGGCACGTGTGCGTGTGCGTGTGTGCGTGTGTGTGTGTGTGTGCGCGCGCGCACATACGCGCCCCTGTGCGAGCCTATGCGTGCCTGCATGTTTAGACCGCTCTCAATTGTATCAGCTTACGAGGAGTGCATCGTGTCAATGTTGGGATTGGGCACATGTCTGGGCTGAGTCAGCGCCCATGGTGCTGGCAGGGCTGCGTGCAGGCTTCTCGAGGGCCAGGCTGGATCGCCGGGCGCGGCCCCTAGGGGCACAAGCCTGGTCCTTGTGTGCCAGCTCCTCGCCTGTCAAAAATCAAGCACCGATCATCGCACCCGGTTTCACGCAATCGTTTTCTGTCTGCACCAGATGTTTTCATCGGTACAAGCCCCACACATCCTCCTTGCAGCTGCACAAGATTGACGCAAGGCGCAGTGGGCATCTAAGGTGCAGCAGGCACATCTCAGCTGCCCCAAGATCCCGAAACAACTGAACTCCGCGCGCCCTTGAACCCAACACAGATGGTGGAGCGGGAGATGCACCTACCATTCACCGCCTTTGGCTCCCTGGAGGCAAACCTCAACTTGGAGGCGCTGTCGGTGAAGTACGCGTCACCCGAGCTGTACCGCGGCTCCAGCGCCCCCCTCGGCCGCAGCGGCAGCGGGGCCGCACAGGGCCCCGCCCTAGACAGCGCCGCCCGCGGGGGCGGCGATGATGGGGGCGGCATTGGCGCGAACGGCGGCGGCGGCGGGGGAGGCGGCGGCGCTGATGAGGCGCGGGACGCGTTTGATTTGGACGGGCTGGTGGGGTCGTTCTCTGACCGGGGCCAGCCGCTGCGGCAGAGCCAGCGCATGGTGCGTGCAAAGCTTGGGGACAGGGCATCTGGGGCGCGGCCGGTGTCAGACTCAAAGGTCAAGTGGGATATGCTCAGAAGTCGAGTGGCACATGCCGGGGCGGCAGGGCAGCCACCAACTTGACCGCAGGCACAGCAGAACTCACAGCAAGTGCATTTGCGGCAGACTTAGCTCGGAGGTGCAGACGGCTGCGGTCCTTGACGCATTGACATGGCATCACAACATGCTCACCGTTCACCAATCGTGCACATCTTCCTGCCAGGCTCTGTCCAACCTGGTGCGGGTGCGCATGCTGGTGGAGGCCCAGAAGCAAAAGCTGCAGCGCGAAAGGACAGCCGAGTTCCTGGAGGCGGCCAAACTGGGCAACATGACGCGCCTGCGCGCGGTGAGCGGCGCTTGCACCTGCCTGCGCGCATGTACGTGCGCACTGGCACCACTCCGCTTTGTCACTTAGGCATCAATCACAATCGTCGCTCTCTCAGCTGACTGCCCTGGTCTCGTCACGCACCCGCCTGCGCACCTTTGCACATGGCTGCTTGTCTGCATATCCGCCAACGCCCAGTGCGCAGCAACCCTCGAAACCAGACCCCAGACCCAGCCAACTCCAATCCTCCACCCAAATGTCCAACCCCAACCCCCCACGCCACCAGATGCTGCAGCAGGGGCTGAGCCCCGACAGCTCTGACTACGACGGCCGCACTGCCCTCATGCTGGCGGCCGGCCAGGGCCACCTGGAGGCCGTGAAGCTGCTGCTCTCCACGGGAGCTCACCCATCCCTCACGGACTCGCTGCAGGTGCAGGCAGGGGAGGGCACGGCCTGACCCAAAGCAAGCCGGTTTTCGTGCCGTGTTCCATGCGTGGGAGCTCGGTCCAATTGCTTGATTGGTACGGCTCAACACGCCTGCGCGCACGCATGTGCCCACGCGCATGCGCACGTGTGCACACACTTGTATTCTCTCAGGCGCGCACGTGCGCACACACACCCACACAAACACACACAAACACACACACACACACACACACACACACACACACACACACACATGCACACACAGGGCTGCGCGCTGCTGGAGGCAGCGCGCGGCGGCCACGACCATGTCCTCTCAGCACTGCTGGCTGCAGGGGCAAAAATGTACATGTCACAGGTGCGGGGCGGGACCTTCCCGTTGTCACGGAGAGTCTGTAGAGCGACCCACGGTTGCGATGCACCCAATGAAAGTACTCCGATGCAGGAATATGGGCTGCCAACGCGCTGGAGTGCTGATGAAACGCGTCGAAATAATTGCATGAGCATTGTATGACAATCGGCATTCGCAAATGCAACTCGTGCTCATGCGTGCATGCGCCTGTGCTCACGCACGCGTGCACAAACACACCCCAAGCACACACACACACAAGTAAACTTACTGCGGCTGCCCCGCCCCTCCCGCAGGTCGCCTGCGCCGCGCACCTGTGCACCGCCGTGTTTGAAGGGGACGTGAAGCTGCTGCGCCGCCTGGTACGCGCCGGCATGCCGCCCGACAGCGGCGACTACGACGGCCGCCGCGCGGCGCACATCGCCGCCGCGGAGAGCTCTCTCGCAGCAGTGAGCTCCTAGGCATGCTCGGGGCCGGCCCCAAGCATCTCTGGGGAGCACCCCTGGGGCGAACGTTTGGTGGTGCTTAATCATGTGTCTCAATCCTGCCTGCAGTCATAGCAAACCCCCCTTCTTGCGCCCCTCGCCGCCTCGCGCTCTGCTTGTCTGCGGGTGTGCGCCCGCCTGCGCAGACAGGCCGGTGCGTGTGTCCGGCCATTGCCATTTTTTGGCCTGCTAATCAGGCGGAACGCCCCGAAACTCTGCACCCCAAAACATAAGCCCGAATCCCCACACCCAAAACCCTGAAGCCCGAGTTTTTCCCACCCCCCGGCCGCAGCTCAAGGTTCTGGTTGAGGAGGGGGGCGCCTCCTTGGAGGTCAAAGACCGCTGGGGCCTCACGCCGCTCGACGAGGCGCGCCGCGGCGGCGCTGCGGCCGCGGTGGCCTACCTCGAGCGCCTGCTGGGGCTGGCGCGCGGCGGCGGGGACGATGAGGGCCGGGTGCGGGGGCGGGGTGACACGCAGGGGCTGGCGCGTGGCGCGGGGCAGGAGTGCCGGCCTGTGAGGGTGGGGCACTGGAGGGGTCGCGGGGTTGCTGCTTGCAGGGGGCCAACTGTGACGCTCCGGCTGCTGGAGAGCAGCAGAGGGGCGTCCTTACCCATAGGCTTGGGCGGTGCGATGGCGTTGCGGGGCACGCGTCTCACGCACGCCGCCTGCTGCTCCTGGCCGTGCCCTCCGCAGGTGCACCACGGCGCCTTGGGGGCGTCTGTTTGACGATTTGAAGGATCCTGTTGCCCCCAGCAGTCATATGTCTTCGGCCAGCGGCCTGGCTCACAACCCTGAGACGAGGGGTGCCCGCTGCAGGCGCCCGCTGCGGCTGCAAAAGCGCCCCATCCCGGCTGGCAACGCCTCTAGCTGCCTCTCCGTCTTTCAAGCATGCACCCCCCTCATGGGGTCCTGCTACCTGCGGGCTTTTGAGCCTTGCCATGTACATGTCCCCTGAGAGCATCTGCTCGACTTCTGGCGAACACTTGTGGCCCATGGGCCCTTACTGGGCTGCGGCATCATATGACCGCCGGTGTTGTCTGAAATGTGTCAGCGGCTCTCCGCCCGTCGCGCACCGGTCCCCTGATCGTGCACGCCCAGGCCTGCCAACAGTAGCCGTCGACGCCGCGCAGACGCCCCCGCCGCCAGCCGCGCGTGTCGCGTGCGTGCGTCGTACTGCCCCCCTAATCACTGTCCTGCGGGTGCAGGCAGATGGCAGCAGACCTGCATGCAGGCCCGCGCGGCATGCCATTCGCCACGGCCGACTCCTCCCCACGAGCGCGTGCGTGCCGTCGGGTCAACATCTGTCACCGCTGCTGCAATGGCACTGCCACACGTCTGCGTCCTCCAGACTCATATCTCGCCCCTTTGTTGAGTCGCCGCTGACAAGGAGCATCAGCATCGGCGTTCAAACCACGCTTTTTTTGCTTCTGTGTACTTGAGTGCGCACTGCTGGGTCCCCTAAAACGGCCTCGGCGCACACCCCCGTCCGGCCAAGCGGGCGGGCGCGGCTGCCGCGCTGTCGGGAGCGCACGCCAGAGCAGCGCAGCCAAACGCAGCCCACGGCTCGTGCCCGCCCCGGACCGCTCGGCGGGACCTTGGTTGCTCAGGAGGTGCGGCAGCGCCTGCGCCGCAGACGGCTGTTCTCGACCCCTCACTGGAATTGGCAGCGGCCCCCCTGTGGCCCACCCACCATCCAAACAACGCCCAACACCTTGTGTAACATGTTACCGCAGCAAAATCGCCGACTCGCAACGCATGGCAACGCGTGCACGACCAATGAGGCCGGAAACCACACCTCCCGTGCGCACAACTGGCTGGAAAACCGAAGCGGCGCCGCCTGCGCGGCAAGCGCCGCGACCGCACTAAGCTACAGGCGCCGCTGCGGCTACCCCTTCCGCCGCTTGCCGCCGCCGCCGCCGCCGCCGCCCTCGCCTTTGGGCCCGCCCTCCTCCCGCGCCAGGTCGTCGCCCCCCTCCTCAACCAAATCCACCTCCTCCGCAAGCATCACCTCCTGCGGCGCCCCGCCCCGCGCGCCGGGCCCCCGGCTGCCGCCGCCGCCACCGCCGCCGCCGCCGCCGCTCGGTTTTTTGCGGCCGCCCGGGGTGAGCGGGAGCACGAGCGGCTTGATGCCGAAGGGGCGACCGTTCATGTCCTTGGCGCCGCGTTTGAGGGCAGACTCGACCTCAAACAGCCCCTGGGGTTTGTGTGTGTGTTCGGGCGGGCGGGGGGAGAAAAGGAGCTGTCAGGCAGGCGGCCGCGCTGGCAACCGCCGGGGCCGTGCGCACGCACAGGCAGGCGGG